TGCCTGCATGTATCAGAGGTGAGGGGCGGACCAGAATGAACCGGAAGCTTTATCTCGGGGCTTCTCTGGGTTCAGGTCTCACAGAATAAGACGCAGGACTGTCTCCTGCTCTCCCACTTGGGCCCCTGGCCCGGCCTCTTCAAATGCTCTCATCTTAGAGGCACCCGTGTCCCCAGGAAGGTTGCTCAGGACCTCATCCACCATCGGCTGGGCTGGCTGGGGTTGGAGCCTTTGAGTTCACAGCAGGCACTCTTTAAAAAGAAAGCATTCTCTGGCAAGTCCTCTCTGCAAGGCAGCAGGGAGGAAGGGGGGGGGAGAAGCACAGTTGGTTAAGCCAAAGAATGGCTGGCCCGAGGGCCATCTTGGCGGGCGGGCGGAGTGGGGCGTCCCGAGACGCGCTCACTTCCCAGCACAGAAGCAGGCCTTGTAAGGATCCCAGCTGTTGGATCACGCTGCAGTTCATATCAGTTTATCAAAGAAGCTGCGTTTTCTCCCTCCTCTTCCTTTCTACTGAGTATAAGCGGCCCGGTTCATGGGAAAACAGCCCTGCGCTTGTTCTGCTGCATTGGCATGGAGGGCGGGAAGAGGCCGGAGGAGGGAAACGTACACCAACACCTACTTGGGGCAGAGTTGTTTTAACGGGGCCGGGGCCGGGCCGCTGGTGGGTGCCCGAGGTGCTGGGGCTGCAGGCCTGGCGCACCAGGGCCAGCTCTCAGCACAGAAGGCTGAATTATTTCGGCCTCTCTGGATCTGGTTTCCTGTCTTCACAGACCGCCATGGGAGGCTGAGGCCGCGTCATGAGGCCGAACAAGAGCTCCCCGTTATCAAGCTGTGTGGAGAGCGACGGTGCGCATGGTCTTACGTAACCCTCTCCGCAAAACGACGCAGCAGGCAGTACTATAGAAACAGGTCACGCGGACCAAAACTGGAGGATCTGGGATTCGAACCCAAGTCTCTTTGACTCCAGAAGTTCCAATCTTAATCTGGATCCCAAGGACGTGTGGGAGGCCCATGTGCCCTGTTCCCGTGGAGTCCAGAGAAGAGGGAGAGGTGTGGGCAGGGCTGAGGGATGTCCGGCCCCCTCTGGCACCCCCACCACACGTCCCCTCCCTCTACATGTGGGCTCAGCTTCTGGTCCTGCAGCTGAGATGAGGCTTTGGGAGCCTCCGGCTCCCCCAAGTTCACCACACGGCTAAACTGTTACGTCCACCAGATAACAAGGCCACATGGCACAGAGGAGGTCTGACCCACCCAGGGGCCTGAAGGGGGGGCTCGGGGCCCCACTCATACCCCCCCCATGGAGGTGCAGCCTGGGAAAGCTGTGTGTGGGAGAGGAAACACTCCAGGGTCCTGAGGGAAATCATGCATCTTACTCAACACCAAGACGCCCACCAGATGTTTGTCTTCAACAACTCGGGCTGCTTTTGTCCTCTGGAAGGCAACCCCTCCTGCTCCCCGAGCTAAACGCACTACTGTAGAAACAATGGCTGTTCACTTGTTCGTTTAACACCTGAAGGAGAGGCTTAAATCACTGTGTTTCTTATCTCAGCAGTCCGCATGGACCATTACTATGTTTTTCTTTAAAGCCGTCAGCAAAAAATAAGGAAATGAAATGAGAAGCAGACAGGCAGGCTGACGTTCCCGACGGCTTGTCCCCAGCAAACTTTGCTGAAGGGCTCACTCCCCTGTCTGATCCCAGGAAGGAGGAGAGCACACGTCTTCAAGGCCTCCTCCACGTCTGATGCTGCGCTTTGTGCACCCATAGAGCCTAGGCCAGCTGGCGGGCTGGGACTGTGACCCGGGCTGGTCAGCGGCAGCCGGACACGCTGGCTCAGAGCCCGTGCTGCTTCTGGGGGGGCGGGGGCAGGCTGGACAAATGACACCAAGGACCGGGGGGGACAAGTGTGAGGGGCTCAGCCCCAAGATTCCTTCCATCCCAGCCCACCAGTGCCCGGGTCACAGGCTGTGCAGGGCCCCTCAAGGCACCTGGCCTCTGCACTCCCCCACAGAAGGGATGAAGTGGCGGGCGCGGAATTAGCAGAGTGCAAGGGTCTGCAGCTCAGCTCTCACCAAGCCTGGCAGGCATGGGGCTTCCTCTCATTTCCCTTCCACAAAATGAGGATGCCCGTCAGCCCAGGCCACTAGGAAGACACTAGGCAAAGCAAGGAAAGCCTCACCACCCTGGAGGCTGTAAATGGGAACATGGCAGTGGTCGCCAGGCCCCCAGCTTCACGGAGCCCAGGGCCCCTGAGCCGGTGGGGGGGGGGGCACCCATGCATGTCCTTGCTGCCCACACTTCTGCTTGGTGCAGTCTGGGGATGCTGCTGACGGCTCTGAGCGCCCTCTACCCGAGCCCCTGAGGGGGCATGTGAGGCTGCTGGAGGATGGAAAAACCCGTTACAGTCCGGTTCTCCGGAGGGAAACTAGTTACAAATGCCTTTTTCAAAGGCCTCTCTCTCCACTGGTTCCTGAAAAGCTTCCAGGCAAGGGGGGCTCGTCAAGAGAACTGACATGTCTGCAATGTGGAAAACCATGTAAAGTAAACTGTCACTCATGTGGGGAAAGACTGTTGCCCTCCTGGTGGGGAGTCTCCTGTACCACCTCTAATCTCCACTTCAATCCCACTGACCGTCCATCTTGATGTGAAGCAAAACGGGATGTGATGCTTCCCCTTCTGGCCGAGCAGGCTAAGAATCCATTTCTGTCCCTGTGTTAACTGTGGCGCTCCCACCTGGGAGGATTTTGCTCCCAGGGGTATGTGGCCCTGTCTAGAAACATTTCTGACAGCACCCGCTGGGAAGGCAGGAGTGCTGCTCCACATCCCACAGCACACAGGACGGGCCCGACCACCAAAGACTATCCAGCCCCAACGCCAACAGTGCCGAGCTCGAGAAACCCTGCTCTCCATGACCTTGGAAGAGCAGGAGGGCCGCGACAGCCTCCCACCACCACGGGACTCCTTTTGGTGGTCTGGCCCATCAGAAGCCTGTTCCTCCCGAAGGGCAGAAACTTTGTGGGCCTCCTATTTGTCCTTCCGGCCAGTCCTACAACTCAGTCCTTTGACCCATGCCCTCAACTCCACCCTCAGCCCTGGAGCGAGGGCCCCCGGCAGGCAGCTCTGGATGAAGTGGCCGGGGCCTGCTCCCTCTATTTCCCTCCCTCGGCTCGCCTCGTGGCCGGGCAGGCTCCTGGCATGGCTCCCGGCAGACCCGTGTGGAACTCATCTCCCCTCACTGCCTCCTGACACCCACTTTTGCTTCTTCCCACCTCCAGGTCCTTCTTCTCAGCCTCTTTTCCTGGCTTCTCCTTCCTTCCCCGGCCATTACACCCTGGAGCTCCCTGAGCGGCCTCAGGCCCCTTCCCTACCCCCTCTGCCCCTCTTATCACTAACCATTCTTATTCCCTAGAAATGAAAGCTCCATAAGGACAGAACCATCCAGAGCAGTACTTGGCAGAGTCAGTACTCAGTAAAACCATCTGCTGGATGAATGAATGAGTGAGTGAGTGAGTGAATAAATGAAGGACTATGGTGTCCATTTCCACATTTCTATCTTGGGCATAAGTCCCTCTTTTGAGAGTCAGGGGTAGCAACCTGCTTCATCATCTCTCCTTTGATGTTACCAAAGCAATTTAAACTCAAACATGGGACCCTCCTCCCTCCCTGCTCCTCCTCTAGAGCTCCCATCGCAGGGACTGCCACCACCATCCAGAGTCCTGGGTGTCACTCCCGACAGGCTGTCCCTCAGGCCCTCATGTAATTGGTCACTAATTAATGATACGTGTTACAAAGTACGGAATGCTGCTGCTTCTTCCCATCCCCCTCCCAAGCAGCCACCATCTTCCACTTGGACAACAGCCTCCCAGATGGTCTCCCACACATCCACCTTGCTCTCTCCACCCACCCCTTCTCCTCAGCAGCATAGGAATCTTTAAAAACACAAATCTGGTCACACTGTCCCCCCACCCAAGCCTTGAGTGGCTCCTCCTGGCCTCGGGGAGAGGCCTCCAACCTTGGTGTGGCCAGCAAGGCTGGGCCCCTCTCCCCCTTGCCCTCTGGATCACAGCAAAATGAACACTCCATGCTCTCTGCTGACTTGAAGACTCTGTACAGGCCAGACCCTCTGCCAGCAATCCTCCTTCAACCCCCAGACCCCGCAGACAGCCTCAGGAGCCTTCCCGACCCCACGGACCACACTCGTCTAGTTAGCTCCCCGAGCACCCTGGACAGCTTTTGTACCCTGTCACCCCAGAGGTGCTTATTTCATGGGACAGGGTGAAAGCCCTCAGTGACTAAAAGAAAGCCAGGGCTAAGAACCATCGCCGCAGAGCATTGGAGGCCACTCAGGCCATTCCAGAAAACTCCTCTGCCTGGCTTTGTGGGGGAGCCTGGAGAAATCCATGCCCTGTCTAGATTTCGGTGACTTGAAGGTCATTCTTGTGGTGACCCTGGCTCCTTGGAGCTGAGGAAGCAAAGGGCCAGACCTGGCCATGCTGTTGGTGACAGGAGTTCTAGAGGCTGAGAGGGGCTGGGGTCCTGGGACTGTCCAAGGCCAGGCTCACACGACTCAAGATCCCAGCTCTGCCAGAGCGACTGCTGCCACCAGCCCTGGCCAAACCCCATGCTGGCGGCTGGGCACCCGAGCACAGCCCTGCTTCGTGTTCCATCTGGCTCACCTACTTCCTTCCCCAAAGACGCCAACAAGGGCATACTGACAGGACACTTAACCTCAAGGGAAAACCTTGAGACAAAACTTGTGTCTCAACAAGTGAAAAAGTCATTTGTCCGTTTGAGAAATGGCGACATTGACCTGTCTCGGGTTGGCAGCAGCAGCAGCCTGGTGTGAAGTGTGTGTGGGGGGGCTCCTTTGTTTCTTTAAGAATAAATGCAAAGGAAAAGGAGGGGAGAGAAGGGGAGGAGAAGATGGTTGCTTGGAGCCCTGGCACGGTGTGAAGTGGAAAAGTGTGGCTGTGTGGGGAGGAGAAGGTGCGCCGAGCCTGACCTGATGATGAAAGCGCCTCTGGCCTCCAGGAGCTTGCGTTCACTGCTGAACCTCTTGAGAAGGTTGATCATGAACTTATAAAAGTAGGAGTTCATGGTGGGGGTGGAAGGAGAACATTCTAAGCCTTTGGTACCTGCAGAGAAAGGGACAGAGCTGAGATTTACTCTATGGTCCACAGGGTGGTGGGACCCCCACAGAACATACACAATCGTAAACTCCAGAAAGGTGGTGGTGGTGGGGGGGTCTGTGTGGAACAAGGTGAGAGAAAATCTTCAAACCAGGGCCTCGGGTCAAGGGCAAAAAAGCAAGGACTATTCAAGTACATACAAGCAAATACAACTGCTTACTGCACAAATCCCCACTTACCTGTCCACCTCTCCAGCCAGCCCCCAATTACTTAGTGAACACCTCCTATTTCTGAGACCGCTGCTATGTGCTAGGAATTTTTTATAAAACAAACCTGTACCTATCATCCCAATAAGTAAAATACACTTGGGCTTCATTTTGGCTGGTTAAGGACAGATGACATGTCAAAGAGAAGAAAGGGGTAAAATAGGCATACAACCTCGACAGTCAACAAAATCCACACTCCTTTCCCAATGGTGCTCAAGACAAGGGAAACTATGCACACCTCTGTTGGATTAAAGACAGCACACCCTGACAAAATGTTACCAAGGGCTTTAATCTTTACTCGACGTTTTTATTTTTTTTTAAAAAGATTGTATTTATTTATTTGAGAGAAAGAGCGAGAGCAAGAGAGCACAAGCAGAGGAAGCAGCAGAGGGAGAGGGAGCAGCAGGCTCTCAATGCAGGGCTCGATCCCAGCTCCCTGGGATCATGACCTGAGCCGAATGCAGACACTTAATCGACTGAGCCACCCAGGCGCCCCCCAATGTTTTTATTTTTTTTTAAAGATTTTATTGATTTATTTGACAGAGAGAGACACAGCAAGAGAGGGAACACAAGCAGGGGGAGTGGGAGAGGGAGAAGGAGAAGCAGGCTTCCCGCCGAACAGGGAGCCCGATGCGGGGCTCGATCCCAGGACCGTGGGATCATGACCTAAGCCGAAGGCAGACGCTTAACGACTGAGCCACCCAGGCGCCCCGCCCCCCAATGTTTTTAAATCAGATATTCTTCTTCAGGTGGAAATGCTCTTTTAGACTAGTACTCTAAAGATTTTCAAAGCCCAGAGTTGGCTTTAGAACCAGAAGCACATTCGGAGTACCCCTCTGATATGCACCCCAGCTGAAAATACACCGAGGGCCAGATACAGTCCCCCTCCCAGCCTCACCCCAGCACATGCTCTCCTCCGCAAGGTATTGGGCATGGAGGGGACGACAGCAGGGCTGAAAAAACACCTGGTTGATCGCCATGTAGTATATTCATACACCCCATGCAATCTCTTTGTTTTTTCTTCGTCACACATGCTGACCTCAACAGATTGTTGGAAAGAGGTGTTAGGGATGGTTAGGAATCCTCACTCCCTCTGCCCAAGGCACTAACAGGGCACAAAATGCACACACAACTTGAGATACAATTCACATATCATTAAGTTCACCCTCTTACAGTGTACAATTCAGTGGTTTCCAGTACATTCATAAAATTGTGCACCGATCACCACTAATTCCAAAACATCACCCAAAAAGAAACCTCGTACCCATTAGCTGCCATTCCCCATTATCCCCTCCACCAGCTCCTGACAATCATTAATCTACTTTCTGTCTCTGTGGATTTGCCTATTCTGGAAATTTTGTATTAATGAATCATACAGTATGTGGCTTCTTTCACTTAGCATATTTTCAAGGTTCCTCCATATTGTAGTATGTATCCATTTTGTATTCCTTTTTTTTTTGGTTGAATAATACTCCACTGTATGGATATACCATGTTTTAACCATTCATCCGTTGCTGGACATTTGGTTGTTTCCACTTTTTAGCTATTAAGAATAATGCCAGGGGGCGCCTGGTTGGCTCAGTCGGTAGAGCATGTGACTCTTGATCTTGGGGTCATGAGTTCGAGCACCAAGTTGGGCACAGAGCTTACTTAATTAAAAAATTTAAAAAAAAAGGAATGCTGCTGCTGTGAACATTCACATATGTTTTTGTGTGAACACGTTTTCATTTCTTTTGGTTATATACCCAGGAGTGGAATTTCTGATATGGTTACTTATGTGTAACTTTTGAGAAACTGCCAGGCTTTTCTCCACCATGGCTGTGCATTTTACATTCTCACCATCAGTGTGTGAGACTCCAGTTTTCCCACATTCTTGCCAACACTTGTTATTACCTGTCTTTTGATTACAGCCATCCTTGTGGATGGAAGTAGTATCTCATTATGGGTTTAACTTCCATTTTCCTGATGACTCACGACACTGAGCATCTTTTTATGGGCTTACTGGCTACTTGTAGATCTTTGGAGAAATGTCTATACAAGTCCTTTGCCCATTTTAAAATTGGGTTATTTGCCTTTTTATTGCAGAGTTACAAGAATTCTAGATACAAGTCTCTTATCAAATATAATCATTGCAGATATTTTCCCCCATTCTTTGGGTTGTTTCTTAACTTTCTCCATGGTGTCCTCCTTTGAAGCAAAGAATTTTAAATTCTGATCGAGTTCAATTTATCTTTTTTTTTGGGTTGCTTGTGCTTTTGGTGCCATATCTAAGAAAGTATTACCTATTCCAAGGTCATAAAGATTTACTGATGGGCTTCCTTCTAAGAGTTGTGTATGTATTTTTTTTTAAATATAGCTCTTATATTTAGGTATCTGATCTATTTTAATTTTTGTATATGGTGTGAGGAAGAAGTCTAAATTCTTTTGCATGTGGATGGATATCTAATTGTCCTAGTGTAACATGATATCTGCTTGCTTTATTTTTTTTACAAGCTGTTTTTTTAAAGTTTATTTATTTATTTAAGTAATCTCTATCCACAATGTGGGGCTCAAACTTATGACCCTGAGATCAAGAGTCACATGCTCTTCCAACTGAACCAGCCAGGAGCCCTGATGCTTTATTTTTTATATTGTATTTTTTCTAGCTTTATTGAGATAAGATTGACATACAACATTATATAAGCTTAAGGTGTACAATGTGTTGATTTCATACATGGACACATTGCAAAATGATTACCACAGTGCTGTGGAGTCAGCCAATACCTTCCTCACCTCATATAATGACCACTTGTTTTTTTGTGGTGAGAACATTTACGATCTACTCTCTTAGCAACTTTCAAGTATATACTATAGTAGTATTAACTATAATCACCGTTCTGTACATTAGATGCCCAGAACTTTAATTAAACTCTAACTGGAAGTTTGTACCCTTTGACCGGTATCTCCCCAACATGGTAGCTGAATAGGCAACCAAGAGTTACCATTTGCCAGGGACTTCCTATGTGCTATGCGTGTTTCTAAAGCCTTCACACATAGCATCTAACTAATCCTCAAAATAATCCTTGAAAATATGTGCTCTAACTCTTCTCATTATATAGGTGGAGAAGCCGTGAATTAGGCTGAGGACTATCCAAAGTCACAGAGCTGAGGAGTGGTGGTGTCTGAGTCCCCGCAGCTGGTCTCAGCAGCTCCGCCACGCTGCCCATCACTTGGGTGCTGGTGCTTGGGGCGGTTTGGGGTTTGCAGGTTAGTAGGCGGTATGCTCCCAAACAAGAGGCAGAAGACCGAAATGAAGGCCTTGCCAAGACTGAGGACATAGACACATGGCACTGGCAGAAGCTGTGGAGAAAGAACCTGGCTGCAGCCCCCTGGGAACTCAGGGAGGACACTGGGGAAAGATAAAAGTGGCCAGGTGAGACATGTGGTGCCATCACTTGCCAGGTTGGTCTCTACGTGACCCTGAAGTCCTGACTTCCTCCCCAGACCGGGGAGAGGGTGGCCACACACCTGTGTAAAATAGGGAACCAAGCCTGGCTGTGTGAGGGGCTATCAGCTCCCAGAAGCATCGGCCCCAGGCACACAACACGAATGTATGGGGCCATCCATAGTACTAGAAGCAAGGCCTACAGAGGCACCCCATCGGCTGACTGCATGAGCCGCCAGTGGCCAGAGGAAGCAGTAAAACCCTCCTTTCAGGATCTTTTTGCTCAACTCAGACTTCCCTCATGTCCTTGCATGGTCCTTAAGGCGGTGTGGCTGGGAACGGCAAGAGGGGCCTTTCTGTTTTGTTTTTCCCAGCTGTGAAATACTCTGTGAGGATTCCTTACTCGGAGCCATACCTTCAAACTACTGTCCTTTCTCCTGACAGCCTCCTAGACAGCCCCTGGGAACTGTGTGCAAGGGGCAAGCCTTGAGTAAGAAGCCCAGTTCAAGGGCAGGCCTCACTGAACTTCTTGATGTTTGCAGTGCATTGTTCTGGGTCCCTGCCCAGAACAGCCTGGCCTGGGAGGTCCTGAGTGACTCTGGAATGGCAAACAGTCTCTGCTCCCTGGCCCAGAGGGGCTGTTTGCAGAATCAAGTGTCACATTCTTACAGCTCGAGTTACCCCGGGCCCAGCTGGGGCTGATCTCTGAAGAGGCGGCTGCAGATACAGCTGCTAGAGCCCCTCCTCCCCGCCCCACACTGCCCCCGAGGTGGCCTGGCTACACACCCCCAACACGGGCGGTGTGTGTGGACTGGAACCTTCTCCTGGGTGCTCATCTGTGATGGCTCCTGTGACCTGCCCCCTTCTTGCTTCTGTATGTGCACCTCCACCCTATATCATTTCCAGGCTTAGGGCCATTTAGCTTCCAAAGTATTCCAAAGGACAAAGGGACCCAAACAGGGAGTGACCATAAAGAAATCTTCCACGATGTGGGGCCACAGCCTCCATTCCCAGGGGGCCGGGTATTGCAGGCAGGCAGAAACATCGCTGGGAGTCCACGAGACCCGGTTCAGATCAGATGTCTACCTCTTACTAGCTGTGCAACTTTGGGCAAGTCTCTCACCCTAAGCCTCAGTTTCTTCATCTGTAAGGTGGGGCCAATAAGAGTCCCTAGTCCTTCAGTTTAAAGAATTTTTTTTTTTAAGTAATCTTTATGCCCAAGGTGGGGATTGAACTCACGAGATCAAGAGACTGAGCCAGCCAGGCACCCCCCCCCCCCATAAGAGTCTCTTTAAATGAGACAAAACATTTAATGC